TTATTTTTTTTTATAAACACAAATTATTCCTGCCATCTTCATGACTTTTAGCAAGTATGGCTTAATATATGTATGTAAATGTAAATTATTTTCAAGAAAGAAACATTCACTGAGTTCTTTTAAAAATGAAAGTGCCACGCTTCTCTCATTTTGAAAGCAAATCTCACAGTGCAGGTTTCAATCCACTCTGTTGCTCAGCCTTTTGGAAGTTGCTTCCTATATTTATTTACTGTCAGAGGAATTTGAGTACTTCATAGTGAAATATGAAAATACAAAGCCAGTGAAAATGCATCTAGCAAGATTAGCTAGCTAGCACCTGGTTGCTTTAAAAACCTGCCAGCAGTGTATGGATATTAGAAAACCCTTTGCATCCAGATCCATAGCACAAAGGCAGCCAGGAACACACCACTGAGGGTGCTGGATGTAGAACATCTGGTGCCTAACACAATGGAACAGCATCAAACACAACAAAAAATAATCTTTCATCAGAAATTCCAATTTCTAGACAAATAGTCAGCTACCAACATCACAAAAATATTATCACTGACACTTTTGCTGACACTCCACAAAAAAGCACTACGTGAACAGGAAACATGAACCACTTAAGATTAATTCATACAGGCAGCACATAAAGAATTGATAAAGTTAACACCAATGCTACTGATACCTTTTTGGGAAAAAGTGAAGACATCTTTTCACAAAATCTGAAATTACTTTAAAATGACAAAGAACCAGGTCTGACAAAAACTGCTGCTACTTGGGAAGGCAGGAGAGAAGCTGGGACAGGGAGGTATTTTGAACAGCTATGCTATGGGGCTGCAGGAAGCATTAACACAGTATCAGGGTGTTCTCATCCTCCTTCCCACACAACTTTCAGTACGTCTTGCAAAACATCTTGAGAATAAAGTCTGAAAAGCATGAACAGACATTACTGATTCCAGACAGTCAGCAACTAAGCCACTAAAGTAGCTTCTATGCCCTACTAATTCTGCCAGTGCAGAGCAGGTTGTTGCCAATATTCTGCTCAAATACCCATTTACTGACTTCACAGAAACACTGTCAGTTGGGCTACTTGTACTATTGATAAAACAGTATTAAGAAAAATTTTCTTAACATGATTGAAGCTAATGAAATTTTTCCTTTTCCTACTTCTCTGCTCCAATCAATGGATATTCATAATCTCTCTATATGAAGAACTGAGATCAGTTATTTTTATATAAGTGCTGGCTATATTATAGCTACAGTTTTCAGAAAGAGCATGAACATAAATACAAGAGCACGAACGTAAATACACACTGGTAACTCTGAAGTCTAGTGACAAATGTTTACTCTTGCCCTAATCCATGCTGCTTTTGCAGTTGCTTTTTCACTCAAAGAATTGAGATGGAAACCAAAAGGTTCTCTTATCTTCTCCCAGGTCCAACCTAACTCATTTGGATGCTCTTGCCAGGGTTCTGAGTACGCTCCCACTCCCAGGGCTTTAGCCTTTGGGAGAGTTCCACAAGGAGAAAGAAAAATCTCAAAAACACTATCCTGCTATAAAATCTTAAATTCAAAGTTTTATAACTCCATTATAATCCTCTCCTCCATGCTGTCCTATTATCATCTCTAAAACTAGTGACCTGTCTATATAGGAAGATCCTAAGGGATCTGCTCCAAGCAGATATCCCACAACCAGTTGCTTCAGATAGGTGATTTCTTTCGTAAGCAACTGCAAACTGGAGTCTGTATACAAGTGATAAGCCAGAGCAGTTATTCCAAGGCCATAATGGCTGGTCAAGCTGAAAACCTACCTTTCTTGGAAGCTTTGGGTTGATCCAACACCTGACAACTTAATGACGAGCAGTTCAGCTGATCTTTATACACTGCACTCATACTCTAGAAAAGACCAATGCAGCAACAGTGTAATTCAAACGTGGAAAACCTGTTGCAGCTGGGTCAGCGAAAGGCTTCACTGTTCTATTAGGCCATACACTCTCATTATTCTAGTGTTTCCAGTATAAACAAGTAACCTACAGTACTTGTTTAAGCCCTGTGCCATTGTCTTCACTATGGGCTCTTTTGGCACCGAATGTTTTCCAACAATGGGTCCAAAGTCGTCTTCTGCAGACCCGATTTCTACACAGTGGTCTTGAACAACAGCCAGCAGCCTCCAATTGTGACAAAGGGCACAGTCCTGCAGCAGCTGCACAAGCAGAGGAGAGCAGGGCTACTGACAACAACCAGGGTCAGCCAACAGGCCAATGGCTGCTGAAAAGTCTGCAGTGAAGAGGCAGGTCAACCCAAAAAGTCGAGTCAGCAGGTCAGGATCCAGAGCGCTCAGGTATACAGCCTCACATAGACAAGGCTGCAGCTTAGCTCAGGCAACGCCTAGGAGCAAAGGCTTGAGCTTAGACAACTCACAAGTGCAAGGGGAGATCACTCCTGAGTTCCATCCACACAACTCTTCTCCAGGAAGCCCTGGTCAAGTTTACTCAGCTGCACCTTACCACAGCCAGCTAGATTAGATCACTGGCAGCCAAAGGAGCTGCTGGAGGATGAGCCACCTCCATTCCTACAAACACCACCCCTTACTTGTGTTCCTGCAGATATGAGTGGTGGCAACAGTCAACACATGATAACAAATCTTTATTTCCTATTCCCAGTGCTCAGAACATCACTTGTGTCCACTTTTGCACCAATTTTGGCAAAGCAATAAACAGCACAGACAAAATCTGACCACAGAACTGGAAGAAGGGAAGAAAGCAAACTTCCGAACTGTGCCAGACAAGGAGATTTTTTCAGTTTCTGCAGACTTTGCCTATTCCACACAATATAGGTAGACAATGTGTTTCAGAGTTAAAACCAAGATTTCAATTCAGAACTGTGATAGCCTGATTCCCAACCATTCACTGGACAACTGTAAAGCAGCATGGATTGGAACAAGTACTAAGCACTTGTTATCAGGCTTTAAAGTTATCTGTTTATATTCACTGCTGTTAATTTTAAAAGAAAATTCATATATATTGTCCTCAAACTTCACTTTGAAGGCAAATCACTACTGGTAAGAACACAGCTAGTGAGATGAAGTATTCAAATTAAAAAAGACTAAAAAAAAAATCAAAAGAAAAAAGAAGAAAAAAAAGCAACTTCTGCACATGTGTATGGAAGAGAAGAGATACATCTCCGCCCTCATCAATGTCAAGAGCCTTCTCTGTGCTACCATGTCAGAGACCCATTTGATTTCCTACCACTTGAAACACAAAATCACCTCCTGGTTATTCCTTAAGCTCCTGAACCTCCACTATAGATTGGAGAAAAAAAAAAAAAAAACACACACACACAAAAAACACAAAAATAAAAAAAGCATACACATCCCTCAACCTCCACTCAAGGGGTAAATTATTAGGACTTAGAAAAAGTAAATTTCATAACAGTTTATTAAAATGTACTATTTCTACAACTGTTTGAATTGCACAACAACATGGATTACAAAGCTCATGTCTGTGAATTTATTCTCATATTAAGACAAAGAATTATTAAGGATCATGCACACCATTTTGCAATTCTGCTTCCAACCTTCATTTGTTTTACTTAAAACTGACTTGTACCTAAAGATGATGCTTCTAACCTTTTAAATGGCAGCACGTCAGAGAAATAAGATAATTTGGCATAATCTGCATGGAGAAAAAAGCTACTAAGGCCTGTCTACAGTTCAGGCAGCTACGTTTATATTCCCTTGACAACAAGCAGACTCCTACTGTAATTCAAGGAAATTTTATTGCATTCCCCCCCACGCAGATCAAAATTAGAGTCTTCTAGAATACATCTAGTCTCACTTCAGATAAGGATGTTGCTCTAGTAAAAGGTAGACAGAAATCCTAATTTCTTAATTCACTGAAGACTAGTGCTACTGCTCAAAGAGCAACCTGCTGTACAAGATATGTTTCTTTAAATTTCCAAGGAAAGGTATTGTCAATGTTTTCGGAGTATTTTCCGTGAGGAAATATTCTTTTCCCTGCAAGCACCTAGCTTACGTCAGTGAAAGCAGAGCCACAGAGGCAATGAGGCCGGGTATCAGCTGTACTGCGTGATACAAATGCCATTGTTCAAGGTGTGCTGATCCCATCTAACACATGCTCTGGTTTCATAAAAAGTTCTAAAACAAAACCCAGGAAAGAAAGACATTTAAAAATAAATGCTTTGGTCACTTAATAAACTTGTTTCTCCTTTAAAGGAAAGAAAAAAAAAGGGGGGGGGGAGAGAGAAAAAGAACGCTTCAATGCTAGATATTACCGACTGCAAAAATAGAAAGCCAAGGGTGAACACACTCATAGTATGATGTGAAAATACTGCACTAACACATTTTCCTGATGAACTAAGGTGCAGATCTGCAATGTGCTAATTCCCTAAATGCAAGAGAAGGTATTCTGTGAAGAAATTTAGGATTCAAAACTGCATCGGCCAATCATCATGTAAGAGCTTGCTTGTTAAAGCAGAACCACATCTCTTCTAGGAAATGCCTCCTGAATCCTTAAAGGATACACTCATAATAAGTGTCACATCTCTTCCCCGCCTCCAAGACTCTCAATCCTTTCAGGATCTCCCGGAGCGGTTTCAAAGGAGCCGCAGCCAAACCCTGTACCCAAAGGGCACCGAATGGGTGCCCTTATTCTACGGGAACAGCATAGGGATAACTTGGCTCTTCCCTCCCCCCACTCAGTACCTTTCTGGGGTAGTGACTTCACATCCTTTGACATCAGCGCAGCTTGGAGGGGGGATGGGAGAGGCACGGCAGAAAGCAGCAAAACCTGCTTTTAACTATGTAATGCCTCTGTGCAGCCTCCCGTCTCCCACGGCACCGTTCGCAAGGAGACGGCTTCTACATTCTCCCTATTTTACTCCGCCTGCAGCAAAGCCAAATGGGTTGTGCTACTTCCCGCTCCCCTTACCCGAGGGCCACAATGGCCATTTAGTAGCCTGGGCAAGAGGGCAGCGGCTCCCAAAACACAATAACTCACCTCTGATGTGCAAGAGGGCCACGGGCTGGAAGGGCCCGTTGGAATTGGCTGCGTCAACCACCATCCTGCCGCCGGCTCTGTTACATGTCAACATCGAGGCTCCGGCGCGGCGGGCAGCGCATTCCTCACGGCGGGCACCCGGCCTCCATTTTAGTTTAAAAAAAGGCAGAACGCGAAGCGCTCCGCAGCGGGAGGTACCGGGCTGCGCGTGACGTCAGCGGGCGGCGCGGGCCCCAT